AAAAATAATATTCGAAGATCTGGGTATTATTCGCTCATTATTCGAAAATCGCACCCCTCCCCCATATGCACGCACACATGCATATATAGGCCACACACATGAGAAAAGCGGAGTGGTGTGACGTTTAAATATAACTTAAAAACATAAATATACGTTTCATATTTATTTTTTATAGTAGGCTAATATAGTGTTCTTTTTTTTAAAATGCCATATATGTTGATTTTATTAAAAGGGAACCGCATGAGATGAGTAAGATAGGATCATAAGATGCCCAATATATCGGAAAACATTTGGAATGGGTCAGACATGATTTTGACCACTTAATTAAGTTTTGTTTTGTAAAAAAACGATTCTTTAAAGTGAATTTCGTTTTGTAAAAATTGTATCTTAATTTCAAACTATGTTTCATCAACCAATTACCTGGATTTAATAAATAAGCGAAATATAGCAGACAATATAATCAGGACACGGAGGCGCCGGCGCGTGAACTGGAGCGCGTCTCATAAGTGAACCGAACCTCAACTTGCCTCACATACCTGAGAACGTATAGTTCAGGCTTGAAATGTCTACGTTAAAAAAAAACTATTTAAATCGATAATAAATGGGCTACTCTCTGCTTATGTAGGCTAATCCGTATGAAGTGTGCATTTCTCTCTATAAGCGCGTTCACTATGCGAAGACGGTGTCAACATCGCCAACTGTATCTTTGCAGTTTATTAATAAACAATTAAAATGTATCATGCTGCATAAACATTACTTTTGCCGGTTCTTTGTGGCAAGCTTTATGCATGCGCTTGATATGCGGAATATAGGCAATATAGCCTATTATGATGATGCTCATTATGGTTTAGTATTTTCTCCCATATATATTTAATTAAATTAATATAGATATGCAATTAGACTAATGGCTTAAATGAACTACTACTAGTCGACTAGAAAAAAACTTTAGTCGTGCACGGGCAGCCCAACTTATTTAACAAATTTTCTAGACAGCATGTCACTGCGGGCGTTCGGAGCGAGTGGCGCTGTGGACTGAGCGAGCGAAGCATACTCTTCAAAAAGGCGCTCTCTCTGGAGGACAATGATCCTCCATGTGAGATTCCTTTGAAACATACACGGCAAATAGCACATTTTTTTCATTGTTTCTCATCACATCATAGCAGCCTAATTCCACACCGGCGATGACATGACGGCCAAATAATTTAAGTCCCCACGCATCATATAGGCTACCTCCTCACGTTTTGACGTCATCAAATTGTGATCGGTTTGTGAGATCTGCCAAGTTGAGTGAGTACCGATCGAGTCTTAAAATGTGATGATCGGCCGATACCGATCTCCGGCCGATCGATCGGAGCATCCCTACTGAAAATACTACGTAGTTTACATCATACATGAATTGTTTGTTCATGTTACTTCACAGTGCATTAACTAATGTTAACAAATACAACTTTTGATTTCAATAATGTAGGCTATATGGTGAAATTGACATTAAGAAAGATTAATTAATGATCTAGACGTGCAGTTTATTAATAGTTCATGTTAACTAATGTAGTTAACTAGATTTTAATAAATGGAACCATATTGTGTTACCGATTCAGAAGTCCCGTGAGGACAGATCAGTTGTTTTAACCATTCATTAAAGTGACGCGTCATTAGCGGACGTGTATGCATTGTGAGGTTATCCCATCAGTTAGGACATCGCACAAAATTTGTGTCAACAAATAGGTTTTTTTAGGATAGATTTTTCCATTTATTGAAAGTGTGGTTATGTCAGCTAAATGTGGGGAACGCTTTTCAGAGAAGATAAGGCAACGTTTTTTTAGCACAATTCACACACAGCAGGAAATAAATTTCCAATTGTGCCACGTGAAACTTCTGTCTTCCGACCTTTTACCATCGTGTCAATTGATTTTGATTAATATGAGCGAGGGAGAGAGAGCAAGAGTGAATTGAGTGCGCGCGCGCAGCCGGGGCTCTCTCTCTGTTCCTTCTTTCAGTTAACATGCACCCTGTCACAAGCGCAGCAGTCAGTCGTCTACATTAGGCTACTCACCGATCAAATATGGCTTTGGCGGCCGACTGATGACTGAAATAGAAGCGAACTCGCGAACAGGTTGGGCAGCAAGCCAGGCCAGCCGGGTACCCAGTTTGTTTCAGCGCGCGCGAACGAACAAACACCACGTCACATGATATCGCTCAGGTCCTACTCGCAATATTATAAATAAATCCACGCGAATTTTAGAACAAAGTCCTGCACTTAACACAAATTGAAACTCATAGGCCTAGTTGGATGGGGGTTCGAAAATGTACTACCTCGTCAGATGACGTTTACTACTTTTTACTGGCCTTAATTTGGCATAATTTAATTTACGCGGAAACCCTGTTACCAGCTATTTTAAGTCTAAGTATGTTGCTTATTTCATTGACAGTAGTACAGGTGCATTACACCAGACTAAATATGTATTTTTAAGCACAACCTGTTTTTATTTACAGGCTGGTGGATGCTTTTTCCAAGCCCCTAACTGAAGTCTACCTCCTCTTCTACAAATTTGCTGATGACTAAGTTCATCATGAAACGGTGTGCGAGGTTCATGATGCCGTTAGCACTACAGGGCCGGCAAGTCCATGACATCCTCTACAAGGACCCGCTAAACCAACTGCCAGGTAAAACTTTCAAGTCTCGCATAAGGAGATAAACCTGTATTCTCACTGACCTCAAACATACTTTTTGGGAAGATTGTTATTATATCTGCACAAAATGACCCGAGTGCACAAGTGAACTTCAACTAAGCTAAATGCAGAATGTGTGACTCATGTGTGGTCTTCCTGGAGCAACGCAATCAAACACGGCAACTAAACCCAAATAATACACAATGTTTTATTACAACATTAATCTCTTCATAATGTTACTTAATATGACGGTCCCAATCATGGTCATTATTGCTGTTAGAGCTGCATGTGCTGAAGCTGATCCCCGGCACGGCTTTACTACAGCGTTGATTCTTAACCAAATGCATCCTATATGAGATAAATCAGATATACATAGGCCTACACAAAATAAACACAATATTACAACTTACATTTGCACAAAACAAAAGTCTGCAAATGCACACGCAAACTTAGTCATGATTAAGGCTTAACTCTAGCGGTAAAATGGTCCCAAACAACTCCGGCGCACTCGCTTCATTTTTCCTAGTCTGCTTTACGTGTTTCGCCGTTAAGAAGCACGCACGCACACGAACCTGCTTAATCGACGACCGATTAAATGTATTGTGGCAATTAAACTATCACCGATTAATCGCCAACATCCCTTTTACAAAGGGACACTTAGAGTCTCCAAGTGGCTTTCTTTGATAAGCGCCTAGAGATAAACCATTTGGAGTACATGCATGGTTTGGTTAAAGAACAGCATGCAATTTACTTTGGGTATGCCTTTTTTAGGCAAATTTTACAGGAATGCTAAGGGGGTTAATAATTGTAAGGCTTTTATTTGTATTATATACACAAAGAAAAGCCCAGTGTGATGCTGAAGCCCTGACCCGTTAAATCACTGATGGCTAATTGGGGCTTCTACTGTCACCCGAAATGTTTTTCAAAATGTAAAATCAGCTGTTTAAGAAAAAAAAACTGGTTTAGTGCATGCTTCTATTTGATGGGTAATTAAATTGTGCTTTTCCTTATCTCTTTTATATTATAGACAATGACGTGGTTGGAGAGAGTGTTGATGTTGGTCTGACAGTGAATGGTTTTCTTCCTCTGTTGTACAAATCGATGGAGTTCAGTTTTGCTTGCTTTGTCCAGAACTTCAAGAAGTGCTGCAGTTCCCTGACTTTTTCCCTCAAGACTTATTAGGTCTCCACACTAGTTCAAAAAAGAATGTAAATCAAAATTTGAGATGACTGAACCTATACAGTACACACAAAGAGAGTTAAGTGGTAACAAGACTGGAAGTTACTCTTACGTTCCTATTTGTGAGGTAGGGATATACTGTTCTCAAGAGGACATTTGGGACCAAATACAAACTGAGCTGAACATAGAAAAAGATGAACATGTTTTAAATTATTATCAATATGGACTTCACTTCAAAACACAAATTCTTTGCAAGTAACCTACAAGCGCTTATGCTACATATTTGTAAAGATGAATTTGAAGTATGTAATCCCCTGGGGTCTAAACGTAACAAGCACAAACTATGTGCAATGTACTATACCACTGGAAATATAGGTACAAAGTTTTGCTCTCAGTTAAAATACAGCCAATTCGTTTAGCTTTATTTGTCCACTATACACTGCTTAAGTTAAATGATCTGTAGTACAACCTGTGCCATTCAGCATGAGCCCCTCCTCACTGTGCTGTTACGCCAAGCTCATTTTTGCGCATGTGAAGGATGATGTTTTACATGGATATAGAAACTCAAATGAAGTACAACACACCCCAATAACATCTGGATTTGAACTAAATAAGAGAAGTAAGCTACATGAAGCCCAACACAGGTTTCGGTTTCATTTTCGCTTTAAATTAATTTGTTTTGGCTTGAAGTTAACATAGCTACTTTTATTTTTCGTTCTTATTCTGAATACCGTTACATTTAAAGACTAAAGTGGCCTTAGGTATGTCCACGGTGTTTAGAGTTTGTAAGCATTTCACTGTATTCACCAGTATTTTACATTAAAGTAATAAAAAAAAAATCTCAAAAGCTAATTTTTTTGTGTAGCATATTTTTTAAGCCATGTAGCAAACATTTTCCAAATTTCTTGAAAAAATACTTTTTTAACCGTTTAACCGATAGTATTAATCAGTCAAAAGTTTTACTGTCGGTTAATGGTTAGTTATGAGCATCCCTACTGTCCACATGACACAACCTGCTTTAAGTAAAAAAAAAAAAAAAAATGAGGACATTTTAATCAGGACACTCGTGTGACATTCTTCAAAATTATCATTCATTTCTGTAGAGCTGGACATTTTAATAAGGATTAAAAGCTTTGAGAAATGAAACCAACCTGTTTGTGTCTCAGTTTCTTCTTGTTTCACACTAAATTCTTCAATCTTCATGTCTTCACTCTCCTCTTTAATAAACGCCATGTCTTCACTCTCCTCTTTAATAAATGCCATCTCTATAATTGTGTCTTGTGGATCTCAGTCGCTTCACCAGGAGTTTTTCTGTGTTTCTGGACACTCTGTCATAAATTAAGATTAGAATAGTTAAAAGTAATATTAACAGTATTAACAATTAATTTTCTGGGTGTGTCTCTAGTAAGGGAGTCTGTCAGAGTGAAACTTAATCACTCATAAAAACACTCAAAACTGGTAAGTAAATACATTTCAATAATTATATAGTAGGTTCATAATAACACATTCATGCTTTAGGCTACATTAATTGATTTGTAGATTAAATTTAGTAGATTAAACAAATACATATTTGCTGTTGGTTTGTAAAAGTCATTGCAAATGTTTGTGCTCTCGTTGCATACAGTGACACACTGTTTTGACCAGCATGTGACGGTGCGGTGGTGATTAAAAGTGAATTCAATCACTGAATCGTTATGAAAAATATTTCCTTAAATTGACTGGGAGTTTCAAAAAGCCGTTTTTCCATCACTACTTGGTAGTAACTGAATTCGCGTTTACGATAAATCAATTCACGATATAAGGAGTGAAACGAGACACATCTTTTCTGTCACTCATGTGTGGATGCGCTTTACTAACAATAAATAACGTTCATTAATGTTAGATACGGCATTACAATGTTACATTCGATAATAAATCATTCATTTCAAATGGCTTGTAAAAGCTATAAAGCTGATTGAACAGTTTGTATCTATTAAAACACTTCAATTGCTAAAAACACAAACCTTTCTTCAGCAGTCACAATAGATTTAGAAGCACGACGCAACCTTATGGCGTCATATCACAACATCAAAATAAAAGTCCTGTCCAGACGTTAACAATGATGTGCTTAAAATATTATTAGAAACTACTAATTAAGGGAGGGGGAGGGTACCCTTGTTTTAAAATCAAACATAAAAGTCAGTGCTTTTTTCTATTATTTAAATGTGGATAATATGAATCTGTTTGAATCTGTCATTTACATGACAATGATATGCTAAAAAGGAAAAGTTTTTTCTTTGTACAAATGGCAATGTTATAAAAATTATCCCTATTCACACGGATAAGTGAAAACGACTAATAATGCTGTATTATGTATGCCAGACAAGTAGTTGGCGATGTCATTTTGGAAAAATAAAAGACTACACGCCTGCGCAAACATGCATTATTTTTCTACAGAGCACTCAAGCTGAACGCACATGCCTATAGACATGCTTAATGGATCATATTTTTGTAAGATTTTCAGTCTAATGTTAATCTTTATAATACAGTATTATTACTTTGTCTTCTGGGTAAATGTCATCTTCACAAAGCCAGAACCATTCACTGTTATCGCAATTTTAGAATGTTCTCCTCTGAAATAAAGCCCCTTTTTACTTCCTTTAATGAAATGTCAAAACATTTGAACACAAAGGCTTTGAAAATATATCATCCTTGCATCTTTTGAAACCTTTAATTTAAAAAAAGCCTATAGACTAAACACGTAATAAGCCTATGCATGACGTTCTCATTAGGGCCCAAGCCTTGAAAAGGCGAAGGCCCTATTGTTTTCCTTAGGATTATTATTATTCTTCCGAATTATTATTATTATTAGGGCCCAAGCCCTGAAAGGGCGAAGGGCCTATTGTTTTCCTTAGGATTATTTTTTTTCTCCTCTTTTATTTTTCTTACGACTATTTGGGCATTTTTGGGGGCCTTAACGTGCCCGAAAACTCTTGAAACTTTGCACACCGGTCAGAACCCGCGGCCATCAGCGTCGGGCTGAAGATGGTACCCGGGCGTGGCAGGGGGGCTCGACAGCGCCCCCTGGAAGGGGTCCGAAAACTTGGTCCATAAATCAAACACCCTTGCATGTAAGAATATGAAACTCGGTACACATATAGATCTCATCGGTTCATATATACTTCATACTCTTACTTTTTACCCCAGCCCAACAGGAAGTCGGCTATTTAGGGTTGTTTGTAAAACGCATGCAATGGAATTTAAAGTATTTCTCCTAGAGAATTCAAAGAAATGCCACGAAACTCGGTCAGCATGAAGTCAAGACATTGAGGATGAAAAATTGCCAGGGGATTTTTGATATCTCAAACGGTTTGGTCGTGGCGAGGAAACGAATTTATGGCGAATAATGGAAACAGGAAGTGTGTTATAACTTCAGCATACAGTAACTGATCTTGATCAAACTTCAGCAGTGTGTTCGTTGTAAGAGGCCGATCACATTGCTTAAAGTCACTCCGACCCTCAGAAAGTCAGATATTGTGGTTTGAATATGGTCATTTTCTCTCTCTCTCTCTCTCTCTGAGCTAATATGGCAAGCCGTTTTAACATTTAATCATTTGAACCTACTAGTCTCTATTTTCATGCTTCTAGTACTTATTTTTTAGATACTAGTATCTAAAATTGTTTGAACGAATGAATCAATGACTCGCTCATTAAGACGGTCGCCTGGCGACACCTAATGACGGTTTAGTGTTATGTTTAAAAGTATCATTCTTTCCAACGATTTTTAATTGACTTATATTTAAAACAATCTCATAACATTATTTAATGCATTGTTATTTTTCAGTGTAAACGATTTAATTTGATCAGCCCTACCTAGGGTAAAAGCCATATAGTGTCTTATCATTCTAAATAATTTAATTTATTGATCAAATTTACAAATTAAAAATGAAAGATGAAGAATACATTTAATAAGACTGGACTGGGGTGCCCTGCATATTTTACAATATGCAGATTTAAATATACCATTGCCCCCCACCGTCAATTTGATGTGTGTGTGTTTGTGTGTGTTTAATAAAATCATTTAGTCACCACAATTAAAACCTGAACGTGTTTGCTTACTAAATTGTGAGCTGAACGAAAGTTGCAGCAAAGATCAGCAACCGGAGTCAAATTTCATTAATCACTAGTCGAGAGTGAGCGTCTCTCTCTGCTGTGTTATGCTGCATCACACGGGCATTCATAACGCTGCGCGTCCACGACGATGAGCGAGTAGAACAGAGTGAACGTTTTTTAGTTCATTCCTACTTCCATAGGAATTCCCTCGAGCGCTCTGCACGCGCCACCATTATCAATGTCCGTGTGGACGTCCGCGATCGAGCAGTGGAAACATTGGCTACTCCGTCATTTTATTCAAGAAGATCATTCAAACTGCAAAGTGTTTACTTATATTTTTGGATACTCGCAATCAAACACAACATTGTGATTTTGTAAAATACATTCAAGAAATCCGCCCCCGATATGGGGCTTCTTTTAAAATGAAACGAAAATGCTCACGGCTGCACGGGCATTCATAACGGTGCGCGTCCACGCCGAGAAACGAGCAGAACAGAGTGAATGTTGTTTAGTTCATTCCTACTTCCATAGGATGTAATTGAAAACTCTCGCTGTACTCCGCACCCTTGTTAATGTCTTGTGGGGACGTCCGTTACTTTCGCTTTCAAGTTAGCGATTTTAAAGCCCCCAGCGGTGTCACGGTGGGAAAATATTCCCATAGTGGTATCCCTGCAATTTAATACAATTGGCCTACCTGATTTTGAACACAAGAGGGCAGTAAAGCACTATGAATGATTTTTATTTTTATTTTTTTGGGCTAAACAACCATTCTGGCTGTTTTTAAACTTAAACATAAATCTTAAATTGAAAAAAAGGAATACAATGGGTTTAGTTCTAATATTAGTATAATTTTATAGAAAAATAAATGGTGTATAATTACATTTTAGAAAGATATGAGACATTTCCTGATTCTTTTTTTAAGATTTGAGATTTTCCGTTTGAGATATTCAATATCCGTTCACAATTTAGCATCTTTAATGTATTTTCATCAAGTTGAAAAAGTTTTGTAACTGTAGATGAAACTAACCCCCCCCCACTTTTGTCAAAAGGTGGCGCTACTGAGTCCCTGCACCACGCCCGTTTCTGAAACTTTGCACATGTCTACTGGCTAATAAATGTGATCTGGTAGTTCCGCTTCAGCACTGATGATGTTGTAGAAATAGTGCGCTCTGGTTGGTCAGGATTATTCGGAATTTTGTATCTTATACAGAAATAAGTTATTTATAATTCAGATGAGAATAAAGTTAGAGTTGATTAAAATGAAGGAAAACAAATATAATGATCTGAAATATAGCACATTAATTTTAAATTTATTTAGGGTGTATTCACACCTGCCTTGTTTGGTTCGATTGAATCGAACTCTAGTTCGTTTCCCCCCTTGGTGCGGACCTTTTGGGCAGGTGTGAATACAGCAATCGAACTCGGGTGCGGACCAAACAACCGAACCGAGACCCAGCTGAAGAGGTGGTCTCGGTACGGTTCCAAACAAACTCTGGTACGGTTCGTTTACGGTGTGAACATGAACCGACCCAATTGCAAGAAAGCACTGCGCCTTTGAGTTAAAAGGCTTCCGTAGTCGGAGTTGCGTTATGGGAAAGTGATCTGTTGTAGCCTACTACATTACATCTGTTGCGCGTCTTTCTGCGCGTCGTGTGTGCATTAGGGGTGGAACGGTACATGTATTCGTATTGAACCGAAACGTACGGGCGTCACTGTTCAATTTACACGGAGAATACACGGTATAAAAATAAATAAAACTTGCGTGCAAATTAATTAATGTAATGCGGAACTACTGTTAGATATGCGGGTTCTTTAGGGACACATAATCTGTACCATCGGCTATTAGCTCTGAACGTGCGTTCACTTCAAACGTTTGCTTTATACGCGCGTCCTATTCACTTTGGACTAGCGTCGAACTAGACGCGAATTTGACGCTCTATTCGCGTTTGGTGTGACCACATAATGAACAGGCTGCAATGTCAAGATTGCAATGCTGGAGTGTGTGTGTGTGTGTGTGTGTGCGCAGAGGCGCGGCCGTGATCGAACTGTGTGTGTGTGTGTGAGAGAGAGAGGCGCGGGCGCGATCGCGATCGAACAGTGGAATCAGGGCCGGGCTGAAGCTGGTGGCCGGGCGTGGCAGGGGGGCTCAACAGCGCCCCCTTGAACGGGGTCCCCAAAACTTGGTCCGTAGATCAAACACGCTTGCATGAATTAATATGAAACTCAGTACACATATAGATCTCATCGGGCCGAACTACTTTCCCT